TGAATACATACATGCATGAATGAGAGGTTGGAATAAATCATATTCCTTAGGAACTGTCTTGCAAATAACAGAAACCTAGCTTAAATCAACTAGAGTAAGAGAAGAGGGGGATTTTTGAGTCACAAAACTGAAAAGTCTAGAAAAAGACTTTTAAGCATGAATGAGGTTCCGAACATGACTAGATCTGGGAGTTCCCAAGCTAATGTTGGGAAGAACAACGTCTCTGACTCTCAGCTCTGTTGTCTTGATGGTGGTTTCTTGATGAGCTGGCAGTTTCCTGATCATCTTGTCACCTCAGCAACCCGTGTGAGCAGAGTCTTACTTTCCCCTAATACTTCCGGCAGAGCTATGGGATTGAGTCTCGTTGGTTGTGGTCGATCACATGCTTCTTCCTGAACCAGTCACTGAGGCCAGGGAGATGGGATGCTTGGGTCAGCCACGCCTGGGTCATGTCTTTCGGGGCTTGGGGCCCAGGTAGGGGGTGAGGGAGGAGGTTCATCTGTGGCTGAAGCTCATAGGTTGAGATTGGGAGGAGTTCAGTTCCCCCAGAGAAAACTGCATGTTGCCATAAACAGCGCAGTAGATGCCAGGCAGGCAGTGAGAGCAGATAATCTGCCCACAGGGCGTCAGGGTTTTTAGAAGGTGGGCTGGAGTGTGGGGGTTCTGTTTGTTGGTTTTCCACGTTTCTCAAAAAAGGCACCTAGGGGACCAGTGCTCCTCATTGTGTATGAAGGACTTTTGCACCCTTGACCCTCGCCTATTACAAGGCTGTTGCAAACTCCAGTCTCCTCCTGCCTGGAGCCCCAGTCATTGTGCCCATCCTACCAGCCTCTTCAGATTTCCAAACACTGCCTGTTGGGAACCTGTTAAAACCTGTGCTTCCACTAGACTGGGCGTCTCAGGGTTGCCAAGCCCACCTCAGTCCCCAGTGCATAATAGGTGCTCAGTTAACACCTGAGGGGCGGATGGCTGGATGACCTCCTCCTTAGGGAGAAACCAGGACTGTGGACCTGAAAGGGGCTGCATGATGTTGTCCTGTCCCCTCTCTGTATGTGCCCTGTGCTGCCAGCAGCCAGCATCAATTGATACTTGGCTCACCAAGGGGGCTGGTACGTTTTGGTGGTGAGATGCCTGAGGCCTGGTTTGCTTACTGCTGAAGAGACACTTCTGATGGGCTCTTCCGCCCTAAGGCAAATTCATCCACCCCTTCCCCACTCATTTATCCACTCTCACCCGTCCATCATCTACCCAGCAGACATTCACTGAGCACCATATCCTGGGCTCTGTCCTAGGCTCTGACAATACAGCAGTGAATACTACAGGTAATAATGTCCAGTCGTGGAACATTTATTTTCACGGAAAGAGACAGACAAGAAATAGTAGGCACAATAAATAAATCCTAGTGCTAGAGAAAGCCATCCTAAGTGCTATAGAAAGAAAAGAGTCAGGTCTTTGTAATAGGGGAGGCTTGCAGTTTTAAATAGGGTGGTCCAGGCTCACTGAGAAGGTGACACTTGAGGAAAGACTTGATGGAGGTGAAGAGGCCAACCAGGGGGAGCAAGAGCACGTGCAAAGGCCCCGGGGCATTACTGTGCCCGTTCATAGGTGGGATAAGCATGGAGGCTGAAACAGTGGGAGTGAGGGGAGAGTGACAGATGAGGCCAAATGAGGTACAGGGAAGGGACTTTACAAACCAGCTGGGCCCTGGGATCTGAGTCAGCACTTTGACTTCTACACTGAAAAATAGGTTGACTTTGGAGAGATGCTTTAAAAAAAATTACTTGTTTAGAGATGGGGGCATCACTCTGTTACCCAGGCTGGTGTGGCGGCGCAGTCATAGCTCACTGCAGCCTCGACCTCCTGGACTCAAGTAATTCTCCTGCCTCAGCCTCCTTAGTAGCTAGGACTACAGGTGCATGCCACTATGCCCGACTTATTTTTTATTAATATTATTACTATTATTATTTTGAGACGGAGTCTTGCTCTGTCGCCCAGGCTGGAGTGCAATGACGCGATCTTGGCTCATTGCAACCTCCACCTCCCGGGTTAAAGCAATTCTCCTGCCTCAGCCTCCTAGTAGCTGGGACTACAGGCACACACCACCACATCCAGCTAATTTTCATATTTTTAGTAGAGACGGGGTTTTGCTGTTTGGGCAGGCTGGTCTTGAACTCCTGACCTCAGGTGATCCACCTGCCTCGGCCTCCCAACATGCTGGAATTACAGGATGAGCCATGGAGCCAGCTGCCTGGCTTATTTTGTAAAAGATTTTGTAGAGACACAGCGTTGCTTTGTTGCCCAGGCTCAGCTCGAACTCCTGACCTCAAGTGATCCTCCCTCCTTGGTCTCCCAAAGCATTTGGATTACATGCGTGGGCTACCATGCCCATCCAAATTTATTTTTTTTAATGAACATGTAATTCACCATTTTAAAGTGTGCAATTCAGTGGTTTTTTCGTGTAGGTGGTGTGACACTCACCCAGTGGGTTTTCGTGTAGGTGGTGTGACACTCACCCAGTGGGTTTTCGTGTAGGTGGCGTGACGGTTGCCCAGTGGGTTTTCGTGTAGGTGGCGTGACACTCACCCAGTGGGTTTTCGTGTAGGTGGCGTGACGCTCACCCAGTGGGTTTTCGTGTAGGTGGCGTGACGGTCACCTGGTGGGTTTTCATGTAGGTGGCGTGGCGCTCACCCAGTGGGTTTTCGTGTAGGTGGCGTGACGGTCACCCGGTGGGTTTTCGTGTAGGTGGTGTGACGGTCGTGCAGTGGGTTTTCGTGTAGGTGGTGTGACGGTCGTGCAGTGGGTTTTTGTGTAGGTAGTGTGACGGTCACCCAGTGGGTTTTTTGTATAAATGATACGATAGTCACCACTAATTTCAGGACGTTGTCATTACCCCAAAAGGAAGCCCTGTATCTGTTGTCACTTGCTCCCCAAACTTTCCATTCCAGGCAACCACTAATCTGCTTTCTGTCTCTGTCTGTTTATCTTCTCTGGACGTTACATATAAATGGAATCAAACAACAGGTGACCTTTTCTGACTGCTTCTTTCTTTCTTTTTTTTTTTTTTTTTTTTGAGATGGAGTTTCGCTCTTGTTGCCCACCTGGAGTGCAATGGCACGACCTTGGCTCCCTACGACCTTTGCCTCCCGAGTTCAAGCAATTCTCCTGCCTCAGCCTCCTGAGTCGCTGGGATTATAGGCATGCACCTCCACTCCTGGCTAATTTTGTATTTTTAGTAGAGATGGAGTTTCTCCATGTCGATCAGGCTGGTCTGGAACTCCCGACCTCAGGTGATCCACCCCCCTCAGCCTCCCAAAGTGCTGGGATTTCAGGTGTGAGCCACCCCGCCCGGCCATCTGACTGGTTTCTTAGCATGATGTTTTCAAGGTTTATCCATGTTTTAGCATGTGTAAGAATTTCACTCCTTTTTATGGCTGAATAGTCTATCATGTAGATACACGTAGACTCTTGAGTAACGAATATATCTCTGGGCCGGGCATGGTGGCTCACACCTGTAATCCCAGCACTTTGGGAGGCCGAGGCAGACAGATCACTTGAGGCCAGGAGCTCAAGACCAGCCTGACCAAAATGGTGAAACTGCATCTCTACTAAGAAAAATACAAAAAAATTAGCTGGGCATGGTGGCGGGCACCTGTAATCCCAGCTACTTGGAGGCTGAGGCATGAGAATCGTTTGACCCTGGGAGGCAGAGCTTGCAGTGAGCTGTGATCGCACCACTGCACTCCATCCTGTGCAAAGGAATGAGACTGTGCTTCAAAACAAAAAAAAAGTATCGTGAGGTAGGATGCCAGTGTGTCGTTACCGCTTAGAAGACAGGAGCCAGGATGGGTGCGGTGGCTCACGCCTGTAATCCCAGCACTTTAGGTGGCCGAGGCAGGCAGATGGCCTGAGCCCAGGCATTCAAGAACAGCGTAGGAAGCATAGGGAGACCCTGTCTGTACAAAAATAAAAAGAATTAGCTGGGCAAGGCGGTATGCACCTGTAGTCCTTGTTACTCAGGAGGCTGAGGTGGGAGGAATGCTTGGGCCCGGGAGGTCGAGGCTGTGGTGAGCCATGATTGCACCCCTGCACCCAGGGATCATGTGTCCCTGTCATTCTGAGCACCTTGCTCCCTCTTGGCATTGGCGCCTGGAAAATTTCTGTGCCATGGCTCAGCGTCATCTGTCTTGTTAATGTCAGAGCCAGAACACGAACCAGCTCTGCCTGCCCGTGGGACCAGGCTCTCGCTGATGGAACCAGGTTAATAGATTCCTTGGAAGAATGATCGAAGGAATTTGGATCAAATCCTGTAACAAGAAATAAAAACAGCTGCCATCTGTTGAGTTTTACCGTGCTTGGGCCCTGTGCATATAAGCACCCTTTGTAAGTGCCAACAGCCCTTAGAAGCATGTCATGACTCCCATTTTATACATGAGAAAAGAGGGGCTCACCTGGAGAGGTGAAATAACTCAACCAGGGCCCCACAGCGGATAGACGGCAAAGCGTGTGGTTTTTACTTTTAAGCCATATGACCTTCCAGGAAGTAGCAATGAAATGGCAGTGCTGAGACCCTGAAAATACATGGGATGATGGCCAGATGGCAGGGCTGTTTGGGTAGAGTGGGAGAGGCATCTCCCTTGAATGGTGAGAGGGAGGAGCCAGGCGGCCACCCGGCTGGAAGATGGTTTCAGGCAGAGGAAACTGCAGGGGCAAAGGCCTGGCTTGGGGATCGTGCTTGGTGCTTTTGAGAAATACTAAGAATGCCTCTGTAGAACATCGCCGAGAAAATTGATGGGAGGGGCCAGTTCTTGGGGCTCCTGGTCATTGATTTATCCAGTTCATTCCTGGAGTGTTTAGTGAGCATCTGCTGTGTGCCAGATGCTGCACCAGGCTTTTCCACGAGCTCCAGCAGCCAGCCAGTTGTCACCAGGGCCTGTCACTGCTCCTAGAATGATGACTCTCACTCAGGGCACAGCAGTCAGCACTGGACATTCTGCTTGCAGGTGGCCCTGTGCACATTTGCCGTCTACGTGACCATTGACAAGAACAACATCCTGGATGCCCAGAAAGCCTTCGTGTCTTTGGCCTTGTTCAACATCCTCCGGTTTCCCCTGAACATTCTCCCCATGGTCATCAGCAGCATCGTGCAGGTACAGGGGGAAACTGGGGCGACTTCAGAGAGGGGGCCTTGAGGTTCTAGGCCGCAAAAGCATGGAAATGCCCCTGAGCGCAGCCTCTAGATCACGCTCCCAAACGGGCTCCATGAGGCCTGGACCGAGGCTGCCATGCTTTTGTCTGGTCATGCCCGAAAGAAAGAAAATGCGTTTGACTTCTTGACAGAGAACTCTCATGTGAGTAGATGAATCAAGTTTAATGCAGCAAGGCTTTCCCATGCTCTGGAAGAATCTTTCTGAAATACTCTGTTCTCTTCTTCTATTCGTCCTCCATTCCTATCCTTTTTTTCGAAAATGTGGTTCTTGTCTGACCTGGTTGATTTTACAACCCACTGATAGGTCTTCACCACCCACGCTTTGAGAAACCCCAACCTTACAGCCAGGCACAGTGGTTCACGCCTATAATCCCAGCACTTTGGGAGGCTGAGACAGGTAGATCACCTGAGGTCAAGAGTTCGAGACCAACCTGGCCAACATGGTGCAACCTCTACTAAAAATACAAAAATTAGCCAGGTGTGGTGGCGGGTCCCTGTAATCCCAGCTACTCGGAAGGCTGAGGCAGGAGAATTGCTTGAGCCCAGGAGGAAGAGTTTGCAGTGAGCCAAGATCGTGCCATTGCACTCCAGTCTGGGTGACACAGCAAAAACTCTGTCTCAAAATTGAAAAAAAAAAAGAGAAGAAAAACCCCAGCCTTATGGCTGGGCATGGTGGCACATGCCTGTAATCCCAGCACTTTGGGAGGCCAAGGCAGGTGGATCTCTTGAGC